AATACAAAGTAAAAAATTCTTCATCTCCCCCAACAACCTCAGGGATAACCACTGTTTAGTATACATTTTCAGATTTTTTTTCTATACAAATACAAACATATATACACTAACAATATTTCTAACATGGAGCCAGGATCCAGAATTTCTGATTTCGGCCGGTCACACTAGGGAATATAGTCAAGTTAATCCAAGTCAACTGGAAAAGAGATAAAGCTCACATTCTAAAATCTTATTTTAATCTGCTCAAAAAAAAAAATCCCACCAATGTTTAAACTTTTGCATTAAAAGCCTTTAAGCAAGTTGCAAGTCTGTTACGGGTCTAATGTTTAAATTCCAGGCTGTCTTAGAACACAAAGAACTTGGGTCATTAAAAGAAAAATAAAGAGCCAAGCAACTATTGACAGTTAGCTCCCACCTACCGAGTAAAAACAGACTCCTCCTGGTCAAAACTACAGTCAACTGTGGACTGGGTGGAGTCTGGACTCCTCTGCATCATACCCCAAGCTGGAATTGCACAGTATGCCAAAAAAACAAAAACAAAACTGTTACGTTCTAAAGGGAGTAACCAGGATCCAGGCGGTGCAAGCCATTACTACGACTGTTGCTAACTGCAAAGCAGAAAAGTACCGGGAAAACGGCCTTTGTGGGGATCAAAACATGTAGTAATAGATCTGCCATACACATGTTTCTTACTATTTGTTATGGGTGAATCGAGGGGGGAGAAAACTTTACAAGAATGTGCAGGAATAAAGTTAGGAGCAACAAAATCTCTTCATTCAGACTGAAATTAACCGCAGTCAGGTCAGCAGCAGAGGGTCCCAACACACCCGCTGCGCCCCTCCCCCTGGCCCGCTGCGGCTGCACCTACGGAAGTTATAGTAACCACACACACACACACACACACACACACACACACACACACACACACACACACACACACAGGCAGCGTCGTGAACGTGCAAGGAATTCCCAGGTACTGCATAAATGGGGCTCCCGATAACAAAAGCACGTATAGGTTTTAATCTATGGCCCCACCTGCAATTTCTGCAAGATCTGTTTGACTTCCTCCTCTTCCTCAGCCATCATTTCCCGGCTACTCTCGGCTTCTCCGCCCCCAACTTCATAACCACAGAGATTCGTACCCACCCTCATCTTGGAGCCACAGCGACATCTAGGTCGCTGGAGGCTTACCTGCACCTGAATAGAGGAGCTGGGTTTCAAGGAAAGATGTCGCTCCAAACCAACTTAATTAACCCAATGCCTAAAGCTCAAAGGAGATGTTCTATAATCACTTTTGAGCTCATAAACTTGTCTCTTTCCCAAATCCTGGAATTAAAATGTTCTCAGCTTAATTGCATGTCTATTTTTTGTTTCATATCTTCCTACTTATTTATACCCCCCAAAAGAAAAAAGCGCCACGGTGGTGGGTGCTGCCATGACTCACATCACTATAAACCACTGTGTGCAGGAGGACTATGAAGCAGTCAACAACAGAGACCCGGCATTTGGTAAGGAGCTGGTATCTTTCAAGCATCCTCATGTTGCCAAACCACGGCTTCAATTGGCCCCTCCAGAAGAGAAGTGTCAACAGGATTTGGAGCCCCATTAAGATGAAACGTTTGTAGTTCATTTAAGACGAGCTTACATGGGGGGAACCATGACTTCATAGAGGCATACAAA